TGATAGTGTTTGGAAAGTTTCCGTCCGTCTTTCCTGGTGTCTGCCCGTCTTCTTTGGACAAGCGTTATCTGGAAATTTTCCGGATTGTTTGGTCAGGTTCAGTGATGCCTGGGTCAAAGAAGGGACAGAGCGTCTTGAAAGCAAACAGGAAAGTAAGTCATGTTGACTTGTCTGTTACATATAAAGATGTGTTTGATGCTCAGCATGACGACTCTGATGTTCATGTTTCGCAGTCTAGGGATAATAGGCCTAAATTTGAACCTCGGTGTTTCGACGGAAACTCAGCTGACTACTTACAGTTTGTAAAGGAGTTTGAAATCATGTTGAGTAGTTTTTTATCAAATGATGAAATGAAGCTGATTTATTTGTTGAGGTATTGCACTGGAGTTGCTTCAAGAGCTATACAGTGCTGTAAGGTTATGCCCCCAAACGAAGGATACTCTGAGGCTATGAGTATACTGCGTCAAAGATTCGGAAGACCTTCGATGATTGTAAGGAATGTGTTCGAGGCTGTTAAGGGTACTGGAAGTCAATTGCAAGATGAATCCAAGGCACTCTCTGAGTCTCTGGATAATCTATTGACTTAGAAGAACACATTGATTTTGATGAATTGCATAAGTCACCTCAACTCGAGTTCCGTCCTTGAAGTAATAGCGAGACGCCTACCTACTCGACTGCAAAGGAGGTGGGTGAAGATAAGCTCCCGTATAGAGAATGAAGGCATCGAGCCAAAGTTCGATGATATTCTGAAACTGGTAAACGACAGTGTCAATCAATCTATGAGTAAGTTTGCCAGTATATTGCATCTCACCCCTAGAATAGAGCAGTCTGAGGGTGAAACGCAATCACTGATGACGAAAGGGTCTCAGAGAGGTGGATATCGAGAAGGCCCTATGGTGTCTGGTAATCCATATAAACTAAGTTAGTGTGACAGCTTTCGTGAAACGTCCCCAACAGATGGGTTGCAAGTTGCGAGACAAACACGGTTGTGTTTCACACGTTTGCAAGAAGTGCATACAAAGGTGGACTGTTGATCAGTGACCAAGTTTAGTGATAAGCTTAATGTGAGATCAGCGTCATCAAGTTCTGACTACGAATTGTGTGACGATAATGGTGCAGCGAAGAAGCCTGTGGTTGCAACCAGTAAGCCTTTGTTGAATAGAGTGTCACAGAGGAGAGTTACAGTTCCAGGGGACAGTTCTGACTCCACAAGTTTACAAGGTATTACTGGTCAGAGTGAAGCCGTAAATCCTTTAAGGATTTATTAGTTAGAATCAAATTGTCTTGTGCTTTTACTGATGAGTTTGAAAATGATGAATTCGATCATACAAACGTCGGACAATTGAATATTTTGACAATGATCATGATAGTGCAAATTTGTCTTCGGTTGTTCATGATGAGACGAGGAGAATGCCTACTACTGCTGAGTTGAACAAAGGTCCTCTACAACTTGAACGTGGAGTAGAATTTGGAGCAGATGCAGTGGTTTTAGTTGTAGATACTCTTGAGACCGTGAATTTTCTGCGTGTAGCCCACCTATCGACTGGTGTCGAAGCTGAACTGGAGCTAATTAAAAAGATAGCAGTGGTAGTAGTCTTGAGGTTAGACAACTTTCTAAAAGCCGAACAACAACAGATTCTGATGCACCACTGAGTTCATCAACTGGTATCAATCAGTCGTCTTTGGTGTTGTCATCCACAATGAAGGGGACGCCCATGAATTCAAGTGCCTTGTGCAATGACTATGATAGTATTGGTGCATTTGAAAAGACGAAAGATATTGCTCAGTTTAGTGAAGATAAGCCAAGTGTATACGAGAGGGTAATTGTTAAATTGCCTTGCATGAATAAATGTTTTTCAAGTTCCAAGTTACTAATTGAATGCTATTATCTTTGGTGTAATTTACTCTGTTTTTACGCTTGGTTGATCAGATACGTCGTATGTTTGTTAGTCATCTGTATTCCACGACACAACAAAATGGGCGACTTACCGTTCATAGTTGAGGATATAGATGATGAAAAGAAGTCAGCAGATGAACTCTGCGACGATTTTCCAACCTAAGGCGTCAGTCTGAGAAGGGTTGTAGGCATACTGGTGCAAGTCCTACAATTCTTCAAGGGAATTCCGTCAAGACATGATCGGCGAGGTTATGTGTGGTGTGTCACATCAATTGGTGCTTTTGGATTCACTGTGTTTACATGATGTTTTCGTATCTTGTTGTTTTGCATAATTTTGTTAAATTTTTCGTCGTGCTTATCTCTGAAGTTTTTTCTAGTCTTCTACATCCGTGAATGAATTGATTGATGTTAAAGACAGCAGATGGGTCGTATACGCCGGGGAGGCTAGTGCCGAGAATGACATGCACACGGAGATAATGATTAGCGGTGGTCCCACACGCCGGGGGGCAAAATTGTAGACGACTGAGGCTTGCATACGTCACCGTTGCTAGAACTGAGGCAGAATGAGTGACAAGCGATTGCAGTGGTGATTGGTAGTGAATAGATAAGCGGATGTGCGTAGAGTATCACGAAGTGCTGCTATGCTCACGTTGCGTTCCGCAAGAGACATTCTAGCAAGCGGAGATTGTGTTGCAAGATGTTAAGAGGATGCCCTTAACTGGAAGGCGTAGATCGTCATCGATGAGAGAGATTGTGCTGTGGGTATGTCTGTGGTGTGTTGGCTTTTCTGTTTGTTTTCCATTTCAGCTCTGCCCGTGTGACCCAGGTTTTCTCAATGGCATCCAAATCAACGTGTACTGGTCATGATGGAAAAAAGGGATGGATCAATATTTTGCCGGGGAGTGCCAATGTAGTTGAAGATTGAGTGATCAGTTCATGGTTGTTTGCTCGAACCCAACTTCCCCATAATTTTCGCGGGTGATCAATCTGCCAGTCATCGTCTCATCGGTCAGTGTTCAGAAGAAGAATAAAAACTATCAGAATTATAATCGTAATTTTTTGTTATAACATTCATTCTTAGACTTTGTGAAATAACAGTATAGTTGGTTATATGTTGGCTTATGAATAAAGGATTCTTGAGTCGCCAGTCAGTGTTCTGGATTTTCACGTTGGTTAATACGAAGCGTTTCTGAAAGCCTTCGAGGGAGAGCGTGAGGTCCAGCGTAGCAAGAGCTGGATATTTACAATTTATCTTACTTGGCTGAAAGCAGCCATTCTGTAAGTAGTAAGAAATATATATTTATCAATTGCTATAATCCGGTGGATGCCAAATTCGTAGACCTGGAATAGGTTTTAGGCTATTTCTCTTTATAAACTTTTTCCGAATTTAGTCGGTTTGCAGGGTGACAAAGCTGTATGTGGCGGGATTAGGTGATCCCTAATAACATAAATGGAGGAGGGAAATTCGCAGGTGTCCTGGCACTGTGACAACCAGAATAGTGTGCTGCCCATGTTACTATTTTAGTCATTCTTCTCTGCATACTTCATATAGTGAAGCACCACTGATAACTATGTCACCCTTTTTAACGTTCACTGGTGATACCAAGCTAATCACGGTCTCATAAATATTAGTGAATGACTTGCCTCTCAAGGGAATGTAGATCTGTCAGTCAGAAAATGTAACACTCTGGACCTAGACGTAGGTATAAGCTGGAGTACTATTGTGTATGATGAACATAATAGCATACAAAATTCCATAAAAAGTGGTTTTTAATACATTCACGGTTACTCAGCATATAAACCTAAGGGTAGAAATCCCAGCTGCCATAAGACGTCTAATGAAACTGAGTCTCCAAAAGGCCATACATTTCATCTGACCGGATTCGTTCCTAATTTCGTACTGGCGGCTAGCATTGAATCGCCTGATGGTAAGATAGTGGTATGAAGTTTAGCTAAACCGGCTGACTTCTCTTCTCTAGGGATAAATATTAGTGGGGACATTAATTAAAGTTCGAAATCATGGTTGTATCACATATGTCTGGAGTTTTGTGTATCTCATGGAATTGCGAACCAGTAAAATTCCCTAAGTGATGCCAAATACTACTCATCGATTGGTTCACTACAGTTTTTACCAACTAGTAGCGTTTGCTAGACAGAGTGAAGTGGCCTACATACCAAACGACTATTTCGTTCTTTCCGGGGTTAAGATCTGGTGATGGCAGTGATATCAAATTACTCACATAAGTCGATCAGTAGAACGTAGTAACATGTATTCATGCTTGCTTTACAGGTCAACATTTTAGGTATCAGACAGATCACGTATTGTTATATGAATAGATTTAGTGTCCGAGAAATTTCACCTCGAATTGTTTTAACTGCAAATCACGAACTGACTCTCAAGGTGCGAATTAAACTGAAGGTAGGACTCCTTGCTGGAATACGTCACTTCAACACTTTTTAGCGGTTTAGTGGCACCTGTGATTTACAAAAGAACAAATATGGGCAAACTATTTCTGATAATCTGTAAAATGTAAATTACAAAGTAACCGTTATTGTTTATACTTAACGGTGTTATAAGGAGCGAAAATTCGGCATAATATCTCCTTGTGTTGTAGGACTCCACACATTATAAAGTTTATTATTCTGAGTTAAATAATACTAATACGTATGAACGTTGACCGATAGGGTGGAACTTGTTTGACAGCGGAAAATTTATTAGTGCTTTCAAGGACATCTATATTCTCTAGGTGGTGCTGATTATGAATCGCTTCAAGAACGTGCTGGGTAACACCTATTGTGTGAACAGAATATGCAGGCGTTTCATTAACCTTCAAGAATTTCAATGCAAGAAGTTAATGTCCGATTTCGGCATCAATGTGCAGCGGTTTGTGATGGTTCAGAACCAAGATGAAATAGACAAAACTAAAGATACTTTTAAAGTACTCCTCTTTATTCTGTATATGTCTGCTGTATAGGTCAAGGAGTACGTCATAAAAGCACAGATACCAGCAGGTGGCCGCGGGATGGGCGTATTCAAGAATGGATTCAAGGGTGGTGTCCATCTAACTAAGGATCCGGACCACATGGCTAACATCGTGTCAAAATGCTTGGGAACCACCTTATTACAAAGCAAACAACACCATCAGGAATTCTTGTTAACCAAGTGTGTTTATGGAATTTATTGAATAATTAAATGCACAAAATGAAATATTCGTCCTGTTTTTATGGATAGTTTATTTATGTAATGAAATTTAGTTAACAAATGGTACTCAATATTTTCGGGATGTAACGTTATTTAATATTTAATAAACTGCTTTATTATCCCGAAAATAGCTAAAAAGCCAGTTTAGGAGCGCACAGTAAAGAATACATGCATGGTGTTCGTGATGAGTGATGTGATTGTCTGCTTCAAGGTCTTTTTGAAGATCCTTCGGTCTTCTTCAGCCACATATGGGGATTAAAGAAGTGTGGTTTCACATTAAGAGTCTCAGAATTCACTTTTGGTGGCTTTGTTTGCAAACCACAAATTGAAAGACTATTGACCTTAAAGAAAATCAAAAAAAAAAAATAAGATCCATTTGTATAGCGTAGAAGATTATGAATAAGGAAATCTCGTTTACCGACATTTTTTCATTATAACTCCAATGAATACTTATCTAAATATTCAAGTATTTATTTAATCATTCTTAATGGGGATGCTATTTTCAGGTTATGGTCGCAGAAGCACTGGATATTCAGCGTGAAACTTACTTCGCTATTTTAATGGACCGGGGATCTAATTCACCTATTATGGTAGCCTGTAAAGAAGGTGGCATGGATATTGAAGAGCTAGCGAAAAATCGTCCTAACGCCATTATCAAGGAACCTATTGATCTGACCACCAGTGTAACTGGTTAGTATGTTGGAATATATATATATATATATATATATATATATATATATATATATATATCGTTGAAAATACTGTCTATGCTTTTTCTTCTACAAATAATGGTGGTTTAATTTATTTATTGATGTAATGGCACCTGTTTCGTCCTAGGTTACTTAATTTTATGTAATTGTGAAAAATACCCGCGAGGATATTAGAGAGAAACCTGTGTATATAAATGCGATTGTACAACCTGTAATGATGAAATCGCTGAAAAGATATTTTTGCCGAGCTCCTTGTTCATTTATCTCTAATTTGTTATGAACAACAGTGGTATAGTTTTCGAGCAAAACTACTGCTCACAACCATATCATAATGATAATATAACCAGGCGAATACCATTAACCATCGGTAAAACAAAATAGGTGGCAAACCTTAAAACGGATATCATTAATCTCAAATAAAATAAAGGTATTTGAAAAGGAGTGAAACTTCATTGTAGGGGTTAACAGACTGCAACCTAAAGATATTCTTGGAATTATAAGAAGTAGGAGAAATGTATGAAACAAGTTAGATAGTCGTATTAATATTTAGATATTATCAGTAAATAACATTGTATTGGTGTTTCACATAGTCTTATCTTCTATAGCTTTTAATTTTTCAGTCTAAGCATTCATCGACTGTTTAAATCCTATTTTGAGTGGTTACCTTAATTTATGTTAAGATGTCCTGTTTCGAAATTGAATTTATTTCTTGTGGCATTAACTCTTATGATGATACTCAAAGAAAATTGTAACGCAGGTGGTTGTTTTTAATGTCTTTGTGTTCACGCAACTAGATAGCTTACTCATGAAGCTTTCATTGCCCTTTTAGGACTTCTTGAGAGAGAGAGTTAATTTCAGTGTAAAGTGAAGTCTGGTAATTCCTCATGTATGAGATATCCGTCTCACCTGGTGACTGACGTTAATTAATTGTCTACAAGGACCTTCTTATGACTGTTTTCATTTGTGTTGGTGTTGCTCCTCTCGTTTATCTGATGTTTGACTTCTTAACGCTTTGATCAACTGACTAGTGTATATTCTATCTATGTAGAGATTTCAAAGTCAACTTTATAATGGAATTAGTTGGCAGTGAAGATGTCCAAAAGGGCAATAAAAGCTTCGGAAATCAGAAAATACAACATTATCAAAGATTACTATGATTAATTTGGCATGCGTTGCCGGACTAGACGGTTCCGATGTTTATTAATATATGAAATCTTATTATTTCTTTTGGCTCATTTCTTGTTTTACATATTTTTCTTGACGGAACTATCTACTAGCTAACTTATTAAACTTTTCATACTCAGGCAAGTAGAAACCTAAAGTCAGTAGAAAAGACCTCTAAGAAATACATTCTATCCATGTAATCTGCAAGTCATGGTGCTTTTTAGATGAATAAACTGCCAAAAGGTATTGAAATGCAAAATACCACTTTTGGACACTTCAGTGTTTCTATTTTGTCTATATATGGAAGCAGTATATTTTATCTTTATCCAGTGCCAATTTTTTCATCAGGTTTGCCTGATCGTTGTCTTAAGCATCTTTTCACAGCATATGGGTGTATTTTGTTTTTCCCTGCACCCGCTTACAAACTAATAAGGACGTTTTTAAGACAGAAATTGAATCAGTTCATCTTACAAAATATGCATGTTCACCAATCCTTTAGTCATAACAGATTTCTAAAGCCAACCAGGAGACATAAAACCATCTAGCATAGTTTTTTTAGGAATACAATATCATTGATAATTTCATCCCCTCCCCTTAAACGATCTGGTACAGCTGAGGGTGGATAGACTTTGATCATCCTCCCAAAATGCTGTCACATTGCCACGCATTTATAATCTCTGCCAGATAAGTCCTGTTCACTGCCTTCACACAGCGTAGATGTTCTTTACAGAAGTGAATAAAAGATTGCGAACGTCTGGCACTTACAACCGAAGTGGGGGACATGTGGGTCTACGTAGAGGAGCTGGAAAACCTTGATTCTAAAATTATGGTGTATATAAACTCCGGAATCCAAGAACATACAATGACGTTTGAACTTGTTTTAGTCACTAACAACGATGAGAACGCAGCTCCACTATCTTATGGATCAGACTTAAAGTCAAAGGCTCGGTGGTGGCCCCTTCAAACAACGACCTGTTTCTGTCTGGATGGTCGAGCAGTACAACAGCCCTTACACAAAATATGCAATTTTGTATGGCTCATGTTTTTGCTCCCGCAATTTACTAAGTTTGTATTTTAATAGTAATAATAAATTTAACTCTCTTTGATAATTTAATCCAAGGGTTGTTGATTATCAGTGAAAAACTGAGAAAAACAAGCGCACTGTTTCTTCCTGAATTTGTTTATATGTTTGTTTGATCATACTTTAATCTCCTCGTTTGCTTGGCTGCTTTGAAGACTTTCAGTTGTTAGAACTCAATTACCTGAAACGGACTTCTCATGTGTCGCATTTATTGTGTCAGTGACGATGGTGTTACTCAGTAGCCCAGGATGAATGTAGTAGAGTTAGATTAAGTGTTGAATCCCATTGGCTATAAGTTGAACTCTTAAGCTATTCAGACAAAAATGTGCATACATATACTGTCTCTGTTTCCTATTACATGGTTGTTGCATTTTTCTCGTCTACAATTGAATATTTTCAGGGATTCATTCCTGCATCTTCCAAGAAATATATCAAAATATATGTGACTTCGATTTCTTCTATCAGGCGGTTTACCATAATATGTGAAAAAAAACCTGTCACAGAATAAATAATCTTATCAATAAGATATGGGTTAAATGTATTGTATTGCATCACTGTACCTGAAAGTGTGGTTCACTAATTATAGCACTAGAATTTCAGTCAGAAGGTTCCTGGTTCAAACTCCTCTCTGATTACTTCAGTCTGATGATTGAGTTACACCTAAGTATATCTTTTAGTTGTTTCCTCGCCATACGTATGCATATTAGCCATAAAGTGTTAGCTAAGTTTGTCTTAAAAGACGATTTCATTGTTTTGTAGATGAACAAGCATCCAGATTCGCTAAAGCCTTGGGATTTCTTCCTCAAACAAAACTGCATAAAGAAGCTTGCAAACAAATTCAGAAGTTATACAAAATGTTCACAGCTTTGGATTGCGTTCAGGTTAGTAGCATATATATATATATTATGTAACAAACTGTGTTTTTTTAAGAAGAGGTTAAGACTTCTGATGTTAGAACCTGTTCAACTAACGACGTAAATAGTGATTATGCATGGCAGATATTGTTAATAATAATCTTCTTTGTAATCAGGGATAGACCAGTCATTGGTTCTAGTAAAATGGTTGAAACAAACTAATTTCAATCGCTTATGAAAGCTGGGATATGTGTAGATATTATTTTTCCCTTGGGTTCCTAGTGGAACCTAGGGCTTCAACTGCACATCTCCACTTGCTTCTGTCTTCTGCTGTACTTTTCACCTGCAGGTGTAGATTGTTTCTACATTTTGAATTCGGTCGATTAACCCAACAATATCGCATCTTTTTATCAGTACACATATACCTCGTGCTGTACACTATACATCTTGTCTTCCTAAACATCGAGCAGAAATCAGTGGGCTCTACTTTGTTTTTACTATATGGTCACTGTGAAACTACAGGAATTATCTTTTTCTGCCCTTGTTAATACTACACTTACACTGGCCTTAGTTAAGTTCATAAATATCTTTCATTGGTAATAAGTTGATTGATGTATAACTATAGGTCCGGCTTTTACGCCAGATGTTTACTCTACAGTGTAGAGAAATATAAAGTCAAGGTTTCACCTTCTTGCTACAAAATGGCAAAAACAGTTTTAAAGACCGTTTGATCTCTAAAGATTCTGGAATCCATATGTATAATTGTTTGTGAGACAGAGTCTTCTGAACTTTTTGACTGACTGAGACTGGCCCAGCTAGCATTTTTTTCAGGCGCATTGCAGACTTTTTGGGGTAAAATCTTCGGGTAGATCTACTTACGTGGGACAGTGTCCCGAAGTCTGCCCCAAAAAGTCTGCAATTCGCCCTAAGTCTGCCCCAAAAAGTCTGCGATTCGCCCGAAGTCTGCCCCAAAAAGTCTGCAATGTGCCCGAACAAAATACTAGCTGGGGGTTTCAACGTAGAACTTTGCACAGAGATGCAACATTTCACTTGGCCACACCTCACGTAGCCCCCACAAAGGTAGACAAAAGGGATTCAAAAGAACCATAATGAGCGGAAGTGTACGGGTGAAAGAATAGTAACATGGTAAAAGAATGACACTTTAGTGGATATGAGGATCACAAGAAGTGAATGCATCTGCGCCGCTAAGAACAACTTCGAGGTATATCACCGATAGTCTCAAGCCGTTGCTGTTTGGAATTCCGAGGACTCCAACCAGACAGCCTATACCTCCCTCCCTACGTGGTCTAAACCATTTGTCAGTGACTTCCTGGACTGATGCCAGGTTTTGATCCAGTCATCCCCTACATTTTTCCAGTCTAATCGTAGGTCAGCAAACATTACCCGTTGATGACGGCAATAGCTCAGCACGCGCGATCGATGCAGCTTCACAACCTCATTGACTGATTCCCCCTCCTCGCCCCTTATTCACCATATTACATCACTAAACACTGGAAATAAAAGGCACACATATGTGGTCAAAGACAACTAGCCTTTTTATATCTTCGACTGCTCAGAAAAAAAGCATTCTAAAATCGGTTACAATAAAGGCTAGGGGTTTTAGCCCTATTTATTTTCCTAGAAACACCATTGTTCCAGAAGAATTATGCGTATATTTCACCAGACGAACTCTGTTTTATGTAGTGACATGATAGTGTTGCTGACCTCTATCCTTCTCACAATTTTTTTTTCGGAAGTGTTCTCAACAATCAATATACTTATGTGGTACTGAATAAAAGTTTGCAGTCACTGTTCGCATAAAAAAATCGATACATTGTTAACCCTGGTTTCTAATGATCATACAAATTTAGTTTTGTTTCATAAAACCCTTTTTCTCTATAAAACTATTGGCTGTATACTTGTTGACTTGGTTGTGTTTTTTTTATCTTGTTCGTATTTTATTTCTTAATATTTTAGGTAGAAATTAACCCTTTTGGTGAAACAAAAGATGGTCAAGTTGTATGTTTCGATGCAAAGTTGTCGTTTGATCAGAATGCAATCTACCGACAGCCGGAAGTACATCAAATGGCATCTGAAGTTGAAGCTATCGAAGTAGCCGCTTCTGGTCCTAATAGTGTAACAGCCTTAGAAGCAGATGCTACACAATACGGTTTAAATTATATCGGTCTAAGTGATGGTGATATTGGGTGTATTGTAAATGGTGCTGGATTGGCTATGGCTACAATGGACTTGATTCATTATCATCATGGTAAACCGGCTAATTTTCTTGACCTTGGAGGAAGTGTAACTCAGCCCCAGGTTGAACGAGCCTTTGATATACTAACTAGTAAGTAATGCGTATTTTTGAAATTTGTTTCACATTTTACTTCGATTACTTTTCTAGTTAGCCTGTCCTTAGGAATTTTAGTTACCAAAGTGAGATTAGTAGTTTAGCTTTCGTTTAATTTCGTTTTTTCTGGTTAGTGCTCTACTGTTATTGCAGTAATGGTTAGTGCTTATATCGGTGTGTGGGCGGTGATTACTCTTCTAATGCCCACGCCATATAAGTTAATTTCTTTTTGAAATACCTGAAGAAGCAGGTGCATCATTGTAACATGACAGCAGAGCGTAAGCGACAACTTTTTGAGGCCTGTTACATATGACCTATTTGAGTTGGTTTTCGGAGTCATGTCCGTGTCATGTTTTTACCACCAGCTATTAACCGCTTCAAGGGGAGTCGGAATGTTCAATTTTCTGGATGGATGTTTCCTAACACTTACTCTACAAAGGGAAGAGGCAGCATGGCTGGTTTGCTGGTTATCTGAGGAAAACACCTTAATGCTGTTACATCCCTATTCTCCAGCAGTACTTTGCTCTCAGGCCACCAACAAGATGAAAAACTTTCATTGTGATTGTAACCGCCTTTCGGTCTGACCGTTATCCAAACTATGTTTTTGACTGGGTTGAACTTATACGAACATCTGTTCGAGCCAGTGTAACTCGTTTGCGCATCGCGATTTGGGAGCCTGACCACCACCTAACGTGGCATCTATCGGTAGGGACCAGTTGTTAGGGTACAGTAATGAGCTATTTCAAATTTCATATGCTTGGAAGTAATTGGCACCAGACTCCATGCATACACAGTGAAATATGTTTATAGCTCTGAGAAAACATCTACATAACATGTACACTTATATTTCAAGTTCTCCGGAGTGGAGAGACAGCATAGCTGGCATGCTTGTCGTCTGAGGGAAACACCTCACTGCTGTTACACCCCTGTTCCCCAGCAGTACGACTTCGCCCTCAGAAACAAAGATTCTTACACGATGCCGATTACTTCCTTTAGTCTAATCGCTATCCTAACAACCTTCCTGGTATGGTAGGACATGGCAGAGCATTAGTTCCAGCCAGTGCAACTTGTTGGGTCATCGCGATGCGCAAGCCCGACCACCACGTCAAGGTAGCAGCTATCGATGTTCAAAGGTAGATAAAGTGGTTTATAGCTGTCAATCTGGTTATTGTGTATTCAATATCCAGAGCACAGTTTCATATATGCTTACTTGAATTTATTATATGTTTGTTAACCATGAAGTTATCTGCAGGTAGTGTGGGTGTAGTCAGTTTTACAGATATCCTACTTCATGTGATCGGTAGAGGTCGCCAAGTGTATATCTGTGGCCTATCATAGTTGACCATTTTGTGAGCAGTTGGGTATTCTCTGTTACAGGCTTTGATATATATATATATATATATTACAAAGATGTTTTGTCTTTGAAAATAATGAATTTGAGACTCAATGTAAAACTGGTTCTAATTATCACTTGACGTACACACAAGTTGAAAAAGTATCAAATGGCATAAGTTGGTTCAACTGCACGATTTTAAAAAATGTCCGATTGAGTTTCAAAACAGAAGTTTGCACAGAAGTGTAGCAGTTCAAATCATCACATCTCTTGTGGCACAAAAAACATAGAAAAGAAAGAAAAACGAGAGATGTAAAAGAACTGCAATAAGTAAAACACTTTAATTACTTAGTGGATCTATCTGTCTGTCTGTTTTCGACATAGAACTTTGCACCGATGTGCGGGAGTTCAAGTCGCCACACTCCCACCCTGTAGCACGCAAAACAAGAGAGGAAAGTAGAAGAAACGCATAATACAGACAGTAAACAGAGGTGTGAGACAAAGGAAGAGTAATAACGAAGAACAAAACAGTTTCATTCGAAATCATAAGTCACAGGGAGTGGATGCATTTGCGCCAGCCATTGACAAAGATTTTGAGCCATATCACCGATTGTCTTTAGACATTGGTGTTTACCATACCGAGGACCCCAATCAGTCAGGAAGTCTACACCTTCCTCCGTGGCTGGCTCTGGCTTAAACTAACTGTTGTGGATTTCATTGACTGATGAAGCCATGTTTTAGTTTGACCACCACTAGCTCTTTTCCAGCCTGACCCTATATCAGCTAACATTGCCCATTGTCGAGGAAGGCGATGACTAGGCATACGTAACACATGTCCTAACCATCTTAGTCGATGTAGCTTCACAACCTCGTCGATTGATTTCCCCTCCTTACCTAGCACTCGACCGATGCCTAACCTCAATATTGCTCGCCTTATTATACCACTTCACACGGGAGATAGAGCGCAGACACCTATGATCAAAGACAGCTAGTCTTTTCATGTCTTCCACTCTCAGTGGCCAGGTCTCGCTCACAACCATAAAGGAGGACGGAGCGGACTGATGAGCAGTATACCCGCCCTTTCGTCGATAGCCGGATATCACGTCAACTAAGCCAGAGACGGCGTAAACTGGCATATGCGAAACTAGCCTTCTGTATCCGTGAGAAGATTTCGTTAAAGATCAGTCCGTTGGGGCTGATGGTGCTTCCCAAATAAGTGAAGCGGATCCGGTGGATCACAAAGCATGAATGCATCTGTGCCACTGAGATCGATTTCGAGCCGTATCACCAACAGCCTCGAGCTATAGCTTCTTATCATCTTGAGGACCTCCACCAGGCAGTCTACTTTTCCATACGCGGCTCAAACCAACTGTCAAAGACTTCCAAGTTTTGGTTCAACAATCCCTAACTCTTTTCCAACCTAATCCTGTGTCAGCTAACACGGCTTATCGAGGAAGGTGCATGTGCAGCGCGTATCCTAGCCATCTCAATCTATATCCTTGCAAAGTTCCACCAAATGGCTTACCCTCCTTACCTAACACTACGTCTAACTTCACAATTGCTCATCATATCATACCACTTAATGCGAAAGGAAGTAAATATCTGTGTGTGTAGGGATGGGTGCCCTTTTCATACTTCCCACTTCCAATGGCTATGCCTTACAAACCATAAAGGAGGGCGGAGCGAATTGCTATGTAGCACATGCATCCAGTTTTTAAATGAGTAAAATCTATGGTGAAGTTCAACAATAGCGTCCCAGGAGTAGGAACTCTCCAATAACGTTGAACGCTTGCTAGTCGTTGGCTAAGGATACCTGTCACTACTATAGAGCAATTATGAACGCTGTTCACCAACTAAGGAGGGAATTACACCGAGATTCCCGTCTTTAAGTACTATCTGGATACTTCGTTAATAGCTCGTTAGGGTTAGGATTAGGGTCATAATTAGGATTGGAATTAAGGTTAAGGTTACGACTAAGAATACATTTAGAGTTGATGTCATTTATTTTGATTTGGTTTCTTATCTATATTTTCCTGGTAAGTAGTCGTTGATCCTCTTACTGGAAACCATAGTAATTCAACCGAGGGCTTTTGAGGAAGACTGCAAAACAGTATAAAAATTCACAAAAGCAGCTCGTTTTCAGTCACCTCGGTGAATGCATCTACAGAAACTAGTCTAAGTTAGCAACTGATACTCCTCATTATAACTGGGATGTATTTTGAAGTCATGTCAGAGAAAGATACCCTGTTTAATTTAATCTAGAATTTTTTTTCTATCTGGCTTAGCTTCAGTATTCCTACTTCATGTCAGTGGATGTGTCGGTAGTTTTCTAAGGTCTTTTTTTATTCCTTTGCAATCCGAGTGGAATATAGAGCTTAAGACCTTGAGCTTTGAAGTTCCAGTAGCAGTGGTATTTCATTTTTACGCCCAATTTTCCGTCTTTCAATGGTCATACTACTGGCTAAGTGAAGTTCAGCAATAAGTTGGTCGGAAATGGAACCCGAATCACGTGAGTGGTCGGTGAGGCTTATACGTGATGCAACGTCTCTGACTGCAGTCAGCACTGGTTGACGCGGGTTCGAATCTCAGAAAGGACATGAGTTCCTTCAATGTTGCAGATATGCCTTACTGACGAGTTCCAACTAGCACGACACCTAGGTCCAAGGCTTCGACCGATTGCCTTCAACCATCTAATATCATCAAATCAGTGTGCATCCTGATGGGTGAGCTGCCTAGAATAGTGGCCACACTGCAAACCTGACTGCTAGAATTCAGTCTGCACCAAAGAAAGGACTAAACACATCACACTAGTTACTAGTGTTCAATCAGAGGATTCTACTATTGAGCGAGTGAAACATAATTTTTAGGTCTTCTTCAATAGATCAATGCATATACCTGTTTTCTAAACGTCAACTCTTCAATCATAAATTACTAATCTTGTTTTATTTTTGAAATGAGCATGACGTTGTCCAAGAACTTCGTAGAAATTGAAGAAAAACTAGAATTACATTAGGATCCACACAAAATGGTCTTTATTTTACTGAACAACCTTGAAAGCCTTCTTAAGTAGTTCATGTGAAATGATGCACTTGTTGATTAGTATCTCCATCGACTGATGATTAGGGAGTAACCAAAAGCCATGTGTCTAACACTTTGGTTTTGGTGCTAACTGAATTCTATCAGTCAAGTTTGATATGTGGTCACGAGTGGGAGAACACACTGGACTTCAATTTCTTGTCATCATCATTTAGGTTTTCATAAAACTGAGAATTTTAACTAAAGTTAGGAGTGAAAATTCCCATTTAGATATTTAAAAGACAAAAAAGAAAAGAAAGTTGAGCAAAGAATATTCACATTTTCGTTAACTTCCTCATCTGGCTCTACAGTCATATAAATATAACGTTACAAGAATAATCGTTATTGACCTTATTGATGCTTTTGTTTAAATGATATCAAGTTGTCAAAATCAATAAGATTACAGTTCAAAAGCATTTATGAATGATAATATACGCATCAAAATGTAATAAATAATAAATTAATTGAATATCAGATAAAATTAAAAAGATAATTTTTGTGACAACTATAGATAGTTAAAACAGTGGTGACCAACGTATGGAAAGTACCTAATTGAACTTCTTCGGTGCACAGGTTCGACTTCTTCAGG